GCGTGAGGACTCGGAAAATTTGGCAAAACCGGATGCTGGCGCTGCTGGAAATAGTCCGCGAAGTAGCAGTGAAATTACGGCGCACAACCAGCGAATTGCACTCATCAAAAAAATGCTCAAAAAGCCTTAATTTTTTTTATTGCTTCCTGTTATTTTGGCGCAATTCTATGCAGAACAGACAGTAGCTGTCTTTTATTTTTTTCGTTCTTGATTTCGCCACTTTTCGTTACAGAATTTTCAAATCTTACTTTAGTTTTCAAAGAAAAAAAAAATTCTTTTATGTGGAATCTCAAATGGATAAAATTTTTATATACAGTTTTGAAAGAGGAAAAAGATTTGCGTAGCTATGTAAAGAAAATTTCGGGTATTGGTGATCGAAAATTCTGAAATGGTGCTGTTCTTTTTTTCTGAAAATGTGATCCTCGAAAAATCGGGTTTTTTTGGGCTTTCAAATCCGCTCCATTTTGTGCAACATTTTAACGTGATAGCTTATATCTACGAGCTAAACTGCTTTTATTTTTTGAATGAAATCATTATTTTTATATACCGTCGGTTCAGGAAAATTTCGTCTCCTCCAAGCATTTTTATCCAGGCTTTAGTATTTCTGAATTTTTTCTTCCATTGAATTATCCTTGTTTTTTGTTGTTTCCAGTTGTGTTAGCGATGTTTTTTCATAAAATTTGATTTTTTTTTTTGTCTATTTCGATACAGTTGTTTTTTCTTTTGATAATAGATCTCACATCTTCATAGCTTATTATTGCCTCCTTTGAGCATGGCTTTTCTTTACTTATCTGATATTTGGTCATTGCCAAGTGCCACTTTCTCCTCTGCAGTTATGACTTCTTTTCTCTGCACACAATTTTTATCCCAGTCAATCATCGAAAAGTATTGGCTTGTACAGCGAAATTAACTTTGAGGTGTCTTTTGTTCCACATTCTGGGATCTCAAAGATCGTGAATTTAGCTGCTGCTATTATCGAAAAGACGATAAATTTAGAGCTTTTGACAGTTTTTTTTCCAAAGTATGAAGAAATGATCCGAGCAAGTTCCATCCTTCAACCTCATAAATAAATCTTGGTTGATTTTTCAAAGTTGAGGTGGTGTAAAAAAAACTAATAGAACTAAATTTTGAGAATATAATATCCGGGGCTGTTTGGGCTGATTGATTTGCTGGCTGGGTCAAAATTTTATCTTCTACACACATTTTTGCATTTTTTTTATTGCGATTTTTCTATTTCACTGTTTCAGTTGCTGTATTAGCAACAACTTTTCTTCCACTAGGCGTATCTGCAACTTTTTTTTTTACGGATGCATCGCCCTTTGTCTTGCCAATTACGTCTACGTTCATTTCAAGCCACAAACATTCGCTCAGTTTCGATCCTCGTGGTTTTTTTTCTGAAAATGCGAGTTTTTGATACTCACTGAGTACCAGTCTGGAAAAGAGGGGGTGAAATAAATGATTATTTCAGCTCAGTTAACTCTCCCCTTCCTAAATCATAGCAGGTATTTGCACAAGTTGCCCTGTTACTTTGAATTTTTTATATTGTAGAATTGCTTTACGATTTCGAATGACTGGCAGGTTTTTTTGTGGGATTTGCGAAAACTTCTGAATTTTTTATTCCTGAGCCCTACAGTTTGTGGATTTTTGTTTGAAACGAACAAGCGGGCGCGCATTGAATCTCATTTTGTTAAGCATAATATTGTTGATGCTTTTTCCATCCAGTTTTACTCTGGTGCTAACGTTCTGCTGTTCCCCGAATAACGTTGCAGGTGTTTCTTATTGTTTTTTCTCTCACATGTTCACTTTAATAAATTTTTTTTTACAACACTTATTGGTATCGCATATTGTAACAGCCGGGCGGGCCGGAGGGAGAGGGGAGGAGGAGGGCACGATGCGAATATCCTAAAATGACATCATTCACTTCGTGCTGTATTTTCTTGAAGTCAGCCCAAAGCAACGCTAAGAGGGATCCAGAAAGAAAACTTTGGTTTGGTTCGGTCCTGTGGCTACGGAGAGCAAGCATGCCTGCACATTAACCGACAATTTGCGGTAAAAATGGATGGTTAAATTACCGGTGGTGATGCACTTCGTTAAGTGTGTTTCACGAGGGGTAAATGCTGTATTGCTTACTCGAGGATCGCCAGTTTCCTCAGCTGCTGCAAAAAACGTTCATCAGACCGAGGATAGTTATTCGGTTTCTGCAGTTTCTTATTATGCTTTTTTGCTGTGCAGCGCTATAGCTGCTACAGCCAGCAAAAACGCATATTGTCGAGAGGCTGTCTGT